CACACTCTCACACACACTCACACATACTTCCACTTTCCCTCACGCACACACACATTGTCACATGTTCGACAGCTCATCTCTCACACGTTCCCTTCCACTCCATCTTGTAGCTGTCTGGTCGATGGCCTCTCTCTCTGTCTCACTTCCACTGCTCAGTCTTTGGCAGACTGCTCTGCTCTGGCGCTGTCTCTCCCTATGTTAATATAGTAGCTAACCTCTCTCTCCATAGCACTGCTACCAGACAGTCTCTATGTTGATATACTGAGGAGTGTAGCACTCCGCCGCACAACTCCTACCCAACTGACTCCAGAGAACTGAGCACTCTTCATCTCCACCAATGCTACTGCCACTGCGAGGATCCTGCTGGGGCACTCTGTTGTCCTGTACACTTGTTCTTACAACTGCTGAAATCTGACTCTCTTCCAGCAGTTAAAATCACTTTTAAAAAAACATTTTTTTTCATTTTCATACTCTTTTGTTTTTGATTAGAGGAAATCGTATGAATTTTGAATGCAATCTACTGTAATTGAAGATTGTGAGTCTCACAGCAGAAAGGTAATTATCACTAATTGGTCTGTGGAAATGATTACAGCAGTAACTTACTCCACGCCCCAAAAACAAGAACTGGGAATGAAAGGAGGAGAATGAAAAAATAAAGACATGACTATTTACTGTTCACCACTCCAATTACGCAATGTGAAAGTTAAAAGACTCCTCCGATGACCCCTGGCATCGTAATAAAAGAAGTGGAGAACTCTCATCATGTTGATTTAATTTGCCTCAACTCATCTCTTGTTTGTTGGGAATTACACTGAAGACCACAGAAACTGAGCTGTCAAATTTTAATGTCATTAAAAGCTTGAAATGATTCAAAAGTCCATGTAATGTCAAGTTAAAGACGAGAATACGAGCACGCTGATAAACAAATACAAAAAGAGACTAAATCATAGCATAAACTTTATGCATTAAGATGTTCGGCTCTGTGTGTGCACGCGTGTGTGTGTATGGCATGCAGTCAAGAAGACAGCCAAGTGACTCACCTCCTGCCAGAAAATGAAGACATACAATTAACATCGTATCCCATCATCCTCAGCTGAGCGGGCAGGCCTGTAATTGGCTGGCTGACCAGCCTGCGTGGCTCCGGGTGGCAATTTATTCTGGGAGCCATGCAGTTTACCCTGGGCGGCTAACGGCCCCTGTGCCATAACCTGGCTGAGGCAGCGGGGACATCATTAACACTTCACTGGGCCTGCAGGACACACACCCATCATCCACTATACACCACCCACAGCCACTAGCACATGTGGGCAAATTGGGGGAACAGGGTAGAAATAATAATCATAATGTCAATAGAGCCACTTGTAGTGAGTGTGTTCACTGATCAGCTGGCTGGCAAATTAGGATATTTTTGGCAGTTTCTGGTAAAAGTATAGAACACCAGGCTTAGATTACCTTTGATTATTAATTTGTAATGAAACAAAAGTTATCCTTGCCCAGAGCAGATGTGATTTGGGAATCCAGCTCCATATTAGTTCAGTCTTGTCTGAACATAGACTCTGAGTTTGTCTCTTTGACAGTGTGTGGTGGAATGCGGTTGTCTAACCCCAAAACAATGTGTGAGAGAGATGGTGCTCTCTAACTGGAGTAATGACCTTGCCTTGTCACAAGGAAGACATGTGTTACATGCTCCCATATTGGTCCGAGGGCAAGACTGTTACAGAGTCAGTCTGGACTCTGGTTTATGTGTCCATTTAAAGGTCTGCATCTGCTGTCTGGCCCTCCACTTCCTCACCAAGCGGCTGTCTTTAGGTGTGAGAGGGAGCGGCACACATGGAAAGTTCCATCTCAGGGATCACTCTATGGATGAGCAGGGCTGATGAACTGTCCAGACTGAATCGTGGATCTCTTCTGTCTTAGATAAACAGACAAGAGAGTCAATATTTATTTTGATTTCCCAATTATCCAGTGTGTTTTCAGGCTGAGTTAGCACGGTGAACCCACTGATTTCCAGCTCCCCACAAGCCTATTCCTTGAGTCTTCTTCTTGGCCGTGATATTCCCAATTCACTCATTTCCTATCTCAGGACTCTTTCTTGCTCTCTGATTACACACACACTCACACACACATGCACGCACACAGGCTCACAGCCAAATGGCTGTTCATTAAAGACAGGGACCTGAGGGGAAGCAATCGTCTGAGAGACGGAAATTGCGTGTCACATTAGATTAGCGGTGTAAAGCCTCTGGATTGGCTCGGGGGAATAAGGAATTATTTCAATTACATTATTTCAAAAAGTCTTTAAGCAATACCAATACCGATAAAAACAAATTAAGAGTGATTTGGGCTGATCTGTGGCGCTCTGAGCTGTGCTTTCTGACAATGTGCTGGAAATCAGATATGAATAATGTAGATATTACGCTGTGTGTGTAATGTGTCGGAGTTGAAAGCAGATTATCTGTGACAAATAATGCCATTGGTTTGCATTGTGTCTCATCAAAAGGGAATGTTCCCAAGTGTCAATCACACCGGCTGGAGACTGTACAGGCGCAGTGAGCCACAGAGGAGAGGATAACTGCATCACCTGCCATTCACAGTAACAAAGCAGTGACACCAACACACGCCCAGTGAAAGTGATGACTTGAGTCAATTTATGTATACCTAATGCGCTGAATTTAAGCTTTTCATGGTGAAAAGTCCCCGTATAGAGCAGGTACGCTCTATGTTTGGTGGATGTGATCCTCAAGGTATTTATAGTTCTTGTAAAGGTTCTAATGTATCATTATAGGCTAATACGATAATGGTCATAATAAGGAAGGATGTAGGTTTTCATAAAGAATTCAGATGTTTTATTCTATATTGTTAAGGATTATACGGTCTGACACCTCTATGACACAAAGTTGTGTTGTTTTTTTCCCCCCTTGGCAAAACTGAATACTGTATTTCTCTTTTGACTCGATTTCACTCTAACACATATAGCGAGGGCAAGAAATTGAATGTGTCCATCTCAGGGGGGAGAGAGCAAGGGTGGGAGGAGGGGGGGCTACAGAGAAGAGGGCAGGGAAAGAGGGGGGGGGGTTGTCACACAGAGCGCATGAAGGAGAGACCAACAGAGTCAGATCGACCCGCAGCCAGTCCACTCACTGATGCCCTGATCCTTCCCCAGAAACGCAGCCACTGTTTCCCTCTCCAAACTACACACATCTGAGCGTCAACTCACTGCGCAACACTCGCAACATCTGGAGGAGGACTGGAAAAGCCGACGCCGCCCGCAAGCTGCACGTTTTCCTCTCTTTTCTTTTTTCTCGTTTTTCTTCGTGCGCGACGAGGAGAAAGTGCCGCGTCCTTGAAATTATAAGTTGAAAGAGAGGGAGAGTGAGAGAGTTGCCTGGCGGACAAATAGATCTCGCTTTGAGTACAAGGTAAGTGGCGGCTGATGCTGCGCGATAACACAAGTGATTACAGCTTCATTTGTTTTAATTGGCTTTAATTGGTTATTTGATTGCCATGTGTATCTGTCGGGTGTGAGACTTTGTGGTAGTTGACGGAACTTGAGCGCGCTCGCTGGAGAACTGTTCTCCGTTTTGAAACCATGTAAAAGAAATGTTTAATTTCTGCTTTATAACCGGGTCGAATTTTGATATTTGCGATTTAAGATTGGGTACAAAGTTATGTCATCGCTGAATTGTCACTTAATTGCAAAATATAAGCTATATTATTTTTCTTTCTTTTTTTAAAGTTTGTTGAAGAAAAGTCTTTTTTAAGTAAGACTGTCAATGTAGTCCGCAAACTTTCATTCTCATCCTCTGCTCAATTTAAGAACAGATGTTTTGGTTCATAAACTAGAAGAAAAAAAAAGATGTAATTCAAAAAGGTGAATCAGTGTTTTCCAAACTTTACTTTCTTATTTCGGCCTTTTCCAAGATCTAATTCCAATCTTTTTCTAATCATTCAATTTCAGTTTAATCAAGGGGGAAGATTAAACAGTTTTCTCCCGATTCTAATTTATTGTTGTTCAACGTTTTTCTTATTATTTCAAAGAAACTATAATGAATTAAAATCAGTTCATACTTTGATGTTTTGTGCCTATTGTTGTTTCACATTTTAGAAAAGAAATGTCGAGAAACTTCTATTCCGTGATGTTTATTCTACTTAAAAAGACCCACCACAGATTTTATTTCATTGGACACAATCAGCATCATTTACAATTTATTGATTTACTGAAACAATTAGTTTATTACAGAGAGAAAAAAAGAGGAATTGTTCTTTTTTCCGAACATGTTTGGAGGATTTTCCCCCAAATGTAATTGCTTATACCTCACTATTAAATTTATCTTTTGCAGGCTTCGGCTACGTGTGTGTTTTATTGGCAATTTATTCCGTCGTAATTATTTACAGGCACAGTAGGCCTCCTCCAACCCTTTTCTATTGAAATTAGTCCAAAACTGTAATTGTAAAAATGCCTGTAGAGTTGCAACTGGGTGCGTTTCACAAAATTAAGACATGAAGACTTTGGCATTTGGATTGTTTAAAATAAATAAATAAATATCCTTGTAAACCTAACTAAATTAAAAAAAAAAATGTTCAGCCTAAATCAACTTATTATTTCATCATAAGACAGTTAAAATGAATTAAAATTAAATTGCTTTAATCCAGTTATGGTTTAAAGGAAATACATTTTTGTATGCAACAATTGCAACCCTAAAAAGAGCATCTTTTGAAACAATTTGTAATTTCTTTTCATGCCCTGTTGCAGTTTAGCCTTTTTGCTTCCCCTCAACTCCCTCCTCTGACTCTGATTGTCGTCTCCGTCTCCTCAGGACCACTAAAAAGGAGGTGAATGGACCTCCACCGCCCCTTCAAGATGGACAGCCCCTCCTACCTGCCAGCTCCACTGGCCTCCCCCGCCCTGATGGTCCTCGCCTCCACTGCCGAGGCCGGCCGAGACGCCTCCGTCCCCTGCCAGGCTCCCAGGCCCTTCGGTGTCCCTGCCTCCGTGGAGAAAGACCTTCACCTCCCCTTCCCCTCGGCCTCTTACACCTTCACCTCCATGTATCAGCGTCAGGGCCACATGTCAGGCACCTTTCCCTCCCGAGACTTCCCAGCCTCTCTGCTCCACCTGCACCCCCAGTTCACTCCGCCAAACCTGGACTGCTCCACCCTAAGCATGCTCAACCACAGCGGAGTGGGTGCCTTCCGACCTTTCTCGTCCCCGCAAGAGGAGAGGGAATCGGGGGTTTACCAGTCAGCTTTCACCCCTGCCAAGAGGCTGAAAAGCTGTTTCCCTGACATTGAGGGGAAGGAGTTTGACTTCGGCTCCCCGGGAGGCTCCCTCAAAGCCGGGGAAGACTCAGGGAGGAAGCTGTTCTCCATGTCTGGCCTGCTGTCTGATGGGGAGGCTTCATCGAGCCCAGAAGAGCGCAAAGACCACAGTGAGTACACACTAAACCCACAGAAACACACATCTGATGCATGTATGTAACGTCGGTATGTAAACACACTCGGCTCTCCTTGCTCACATCTGAAGCTCACACACAGTCACTCATCTCACATCTTTAAAGCGCGCAGTGAAATATACGGAGTTTAATTGGCACATCAAAGACCTTGCTCACCTTGACATGACACGGCAGATGAGATTTACATATCCTCTACAGCTGCATCGACTAATGGTGACAAATTGAAAGCAGCCTTTGTGAGTAAAGACGCGTCTGAAAATATTTTCCCCTTTGCACTCTAGTCTTTATCGTTTAACAAAGTGTTTACAGCGACTGGCTGAGACTGACTTTGACACAAATAAATTGAATAGTGTCACTTGTTCAGCTTAGTGATCATTAGCCACATATGACCATTAGGCCTATTGGAAGTCAGACTTTTCTTGGTGGCTGAGGAACACAAATACATCGGAGCGTGTGGAGGGTTGACATAGGAGGAGTGAGAGTTGGAACGAATGACACCCTGTCAGAGATAACGAGGTGGCAGAGATAGAGAGGAAGGGATGGAGGAGGATAGAGAAAAAGAGAGAGGGAGAGAGAGAGAGAGAGAGAGAGAGAGAGACGCGGCAATGTGCCTCAGCCTGAGCTTCCCAACGACAACCCTCAGCTCAATATGGCCGCCCACACCAGCCGTCTGATTTGTTGACAAATGAGTGGGAGAGGTGTCAGTCAGTGCGCCGCGGAGAGAGAGACGCTCCTCATTACTCCCGGGGATAATTGCCCAACGACGCGGGGGCACAACACTCGCCTCAGAGGGAGAGGGGGTGGGGAGAGAGGGAGCCGGAGTCAGGGAGGCAATGCTAGGCATGATGGGAAATCAAACCCCCTCAGTGGCGGTCGCCAAGGGGAGCGCCTGACAGATGAAAGGGACCAGAGAAAGACAGAGAGAGAGGAGAGAGAGCACCCAAAGGCTTGGCAGATCAGAGGGGGACACCATCGAAAATAATGACAATGAGAAGGGGGGGCCAGCGATGGAGAGGGGCGAGGAGGGGGAGACGCTGATACACGCTCTCATACATATCACCTAAAGGAAACTTTCATCCCACACATAAAGGGCGGGAGCAGGGACGAGTTGTCTTAAGAAAAGTTTGGATTGTGTGCCATGTGTGTCTCTATGCATATGTGTGTGTCTTTGTTGAAACTTGCTGATTTTGTCGCTGGTTGGTGGCTGAGTGACAGGGCCAGGGAGGCGGAGTGGCAGGAAGGAATCTCAATATGGAATTTTAATAAGGACGGGGAAGGGAAAGAGATGCCAGCCAGCATGCTGGTGTGAGAGGTGTGTCTGTCTGACAATGTTTGCTCTGTGCACTCGAGCATGCGTGCTCCTCTCACCTCCTGATTTTGGGAATCTCATTTGGGGAATGTTGACAAGGACAAAAGATGGGGTGGAACAGAACATGGGGAGCATCTCTCCTCCAAAAATGAGTTTGGGAAAAAAAAATGGATTCGTGCACATTGGAAGCTGCTTTTCCAGCTTTATCCAATTAGATTGGAGCTCAGGCAAACTAAGAGCTTTAATGCAATTGAGCTCCCAGCACTTTTCTAAGTCTGACATACACTTGTTCCTCTTGACTGGGTAACAGACAGTCACTTCAGGACTGAAAGTCTTAAGTGTTAAGCTTGAAATCTTCTTGGGTTGTGAGAGTGCGTCTACTGCTCGCATACTGCTGCAGCGACGGCAATGCAAATTCTCACTGAAATACAAACTACACCATAAAAACCTACTTTTGTACTTTTTAAGTTTTCTTAATTACTGAAATTACCTTCTGTATTGGGGTTTTCTCCCTGTACCTGTATGGGTTTTCTCCAAGTGCTTAGATCACTGCCCTAAAGTTAGACTCTGTGCAATGCACTGCAGCCACCCAATGCTTCTAAATATTTAAGATGGATTTGAAGGAGAGGACAAATATCCAGCAGAGTAATTCAACTGAATATATTTGAACCTAGAGTGAAATGATGATTCTTGTGTCGACTTTCCTCTGAACAAATCAAAACTTTCTGGATTGCATTTGACTTTTTGAGGACACGTCACATACATTCAGTCTGAGCACAGATGAACAAGTGCTGTAGTTCCTCTCGTAGCTTCTCTGCACAACATGCAGGTAGAGCACCCTTTCTGCCTTATGGGTCCCTGCCAGTGGACATCTCCTTCTGTCCACTTAGTGTCTTCTGTCGGTTTTCCCTCCCAGACTTGCCTCTGTTTTATCAGGGAAGGTCTGAGACACACGGTGTGCTCTGACAGCTGTTCAAACAGCCACGCTCGCTTTCAAAGGGCAGATGTCTTCACTGGAGCGAGTCATGCTTATTTTCCTCAGGGAGATGCTTTCCGCTCCAGGCCTTAACTGGAACTAAAATGGCTCTTTACCAGAAACACGAGTTGGGAAACCAGACGAGCGGAGTGGCAAAACACATCATGGCCAGACGCTGAAGGAACAGTGTGTGTATGCGTCTGTATCTCGCTGTGGTGGCGAAGCTGACTGAGAGCTGTGATAACTGGAGCCAGATGTTTGAGAGCCCCTGTGTTGTGATGCTGGTAACACACCAAACTCCTAGATGTCAGAAAAGTGAAAACCTTCACCGGCAGTGTGGACAAAGATAGTCAACTGTTGTACGACTGTCAGTATGTGAGTTCATTTATTTAGTACAGCTTGATATTTTCTCACCTCCTTCTTCTCTCTTCCCTTCTCAAACAAATAATTGAGCCAGTTTCTCAAAAGCGATCTGTGACCACTGTTTACATGTAGATGGTGGCAGTATCCTGTTTCATGAACGTTTGATGCTCACAAATTGCAGCTTAGCTTGTACGTCTCTTGCATTCTTACACATGGGTCGCCACGAACATGCCGTTGGTGTGTAGTGACGCACGTCAAAATTAACAGGAAAGGAAATGATCTTATGTTGCAGCTTGCATGTTGCAGATTTGGTCAAGTAGCCCCTTGCAACAACGCCAATTCAAAAGAAACTTGTATTGTTAGCATATAACTGCATCATTACGAAGAGATTAACACACGTGTAAATTACAGAGCTGTTTCTCCTATTTTTCATTCTGTAAGGTTTTTTAAATTTTGAATTCAGTCTACTGAAAGTAGAAAGTTATTTTAATGTCATGCATGTTAGTGGCCAGCTGACCATCAGTTGTAATTTTAACTATTTATGACTTTTAACTTTAGATAATGTGGGTGAAGCAAAACAGTATGCCTTCATCAACACTAGTTCTTTGACATCGACTGTGTGTCATTACATTTCATTCTTGTCAACTGTACATGCACAATTAATGTGAGGATTACAAAAGTTTCACAAAAGTGATACACAAAAGTTTTTTAGCAAGTTTTGAACCTGACTACAGGTATTTAACATGAGCAAAACTCTTCACCACAACATAAATCCGTGCATCAGGGTTATAAATCGGACACGGAACGTCAAATACTGTTACTGCGAGGAGGCACTGTTAGACTCACCAAATCTTCACCTGAGTGTAAAGAAATCCTGCAGGAAGTTAATAGAGGGGAAATGTGAGCGTAACACACACTGAAGATTCTCTACCAGATGCGCTCAGAGCGTAAGTGTCCTCCACGGTTGGTTATTCATGGGCTGTTAGCAGACTAGTGCGCACCTGAACAGAATCAATATTACATAGATTCATCTTAGATTTGGCATGTGGATTATCTCTGTGGTAAAGTTTGATGGGTTTGAGCTTGTTCCAGACACAGCTTACATGCTTTGTGTGTGTATGTGTCTGTGTTTGAAGGTGGGTGTATGCCTGCATGTGCATGTTTAGAGATGGATGTGACTTAGATTTAAATATATTATTGCTACCAGGTGAAAACCTCATATCCCCAAACTTTCAAGTTTTTAAGAATGAAAGAAAGCAGTGTTAGCTTGACGGGTTTAAGGTAATCTAATTGCTTATTCATAAAGACAAATATTGCAGAATTAACCCACAAAATCATCAAAATGATGGCGTTTTCCTCCACTAGCAGTGCATGTTTTTGCATATTTTTCATGCATTTTTTTATGCATGTAAGTTTGTATGGTATATTGACATCTCTCTCCCTCACACACACACACACACACACCACACACACACACACACACTAGGCCGTATATTCTAGCTGTGTGTGCTGATTTGATAACAGGCAGGGCGTCTGTGCGCTGTGTTTTCTGTGTAGCAGTCGTTGACGGCTGCTCGTATTGAGTGGCGCTTCCTGTTGAAAGACAGTGTTTACACCCCACTGACAGACCACAGGAGATCAATAGCAACCACTCGATGCTCATGCATACACATATATTATCTGCTGCCCGCTATTATTCCCATGGTGTATACGCTTATCAGGTGGACTTGTATGTGCACTCCATGCATCACCAGTCGCACTCACCATATGCCCATGGCTAGTTTTTTGTGTTCCTTTTTGTTGTTGTGATTTTGTATTGGTTTGATCTGTCATGAACAAACTTTAGTAAGAAAATTGAAGTAATGTAGTGATAAGAAGGTGTGAACATGAACAACACAACTGGGAAAGTTGGCAGATAGAAGCTACACAACACATTGTCATGTAAAAAAGTGTATTTAATCAAGTTTAAGACAAGAATAAATCAATAATTTTTTGAAACTATTTGATAAACTCATAAAAGAGTCAAGATACAAAACTCTTGACAGCAACAGATACTTACAGCTCCCTTTTTTAAAGCACCATTGTCCCACATATGTAACATCTGCAACCAGCTCTCTTACTGACCACACTGGTAGTCTTGATTTCAAACACTCAGGGAGGAAGCATTACAATATTAATGGTGGTTGTGTTTGATGTGAGAGCACGCCGCGGTTGACTGTTCCCCCTCCTGTTGTGTTGGTAGTTTGTTCTCCTAATGTTCTCCCAAGGAAAAGAGGCTTTCATCCTGGCAGGAGGGGAAACTCTTCTCAGCTTTTTACCTCATTCCCT